CACACACACACACACACACATACATATATATATATATATATATATATATATATATATATATATATATATATATATATATATATATATATATATATATATATATATATATATGTGTGTGTGTGTGTGTGTGTGTGTGTATTTCTACACTGGTGTGGACATTGCTTCAAGTATGTTTATTTTAAATAAATAAGTTCTTTTATTATTAATATAAATTTCTAAAGCTGAAATTCATTCATACGGTTTACTTTGGCAGTGTGAAACTACTGTATTGAGATGATATATATATATATATGAAATGGTTGGTTGGTGTGTGTGGGGGAGGGTGTTCTCTTTTCTATGCAGTGCTCTCTGCAAACCATATTTTTATCTGGACATGTGATGCATGCATTATATTAATGTAAATTTAATCAATTTGAAGGTATATATATATATATATATATATATATATATCAAATACTTTAGGCTGCACCAAAATTGATGAAACCATAAAATGCAAATTAAGCTAACATGCATGCATGAATATTAATGTAGCTTTAATTTCCTGAAAAAAAAAAAAGGAATATTAATGTATCATAGATGCAGTTTTTTTAAATAGGTAGCGGCGATATTTGAACACAAAATTTTCATTTAATTTTTAGGTCTAATATCATGTTAAATATAATGACCACTTCATTCAAAAATTTAATTTTTTGGATGAGTTGGTCAACAGTTAGGGAGTTAGATATTACATCTGGTTATTTACACCAGATGTATCTGAATCGTAGATTTGATTAAATAATTCTATCCAGTAAGCACACAGACGTGAGTGTGATAATGTATATATTTACAGTTCAAATTCACCAAGTGTAAATAATCAGGTGTAACATCTAATTTCTCATCAACAGTCGACCGATTTAGAAGAGCCTAGAAAATTGTTGTAACAATATAAATAGAGAGATCGTTTGTTTTAAAATTTCCTATTTTTGATAAAAAAAAAAATTAAAAATAAACAGTGGAAGCACAAAAATGATTTAACTATAACAAAAGGGCATTTATTGTTAAAATGTAAAATTAGGTTATTTTACTCTTTATATATATTTCCAATCTTTATATATAAAAGAAAGGTTTGCCCGAAATCCTAAAAGTAATTTTTTTTAATATTTTAGTGAAATATTAGTTTCCTTTATTTTCCTTTTTTTTATAGCACATTAAAAATTATTTGTTTTTTCTATCTTTACTAAACACGATCAATTTTTTTTCACGTTTTTTATTTTTTAACATTTTCTTTTTCTTTTTTTCTTCTATTTTTCTCTTCGAGCACTAAATTTGCTCTCCTTTTTATAGGACATGTTTTCTTTTTAAATATTTTGTTTTTTTTTTTTCTTTTTTCCCCTTCCCCACTAAACCTTGAAAATTTTTTTCACGTTGTTTTTTCTTTTTAATTATTTTCTTTTTCTTTTTTTTCTTCTTTTTTTTTTTTTTTCTCTTCCAGAACTAACTTTACTCTCATATTTTATAGCACACGTATGTGTATTAAATTTTATTATTACAATAGAAATATAGATTATGATTGCAATTAGGGAAATTTTTACATTTTCGGGGTTCCATTGTTTTGCTATTGTACATGTCATATATATATTTACTAATTTCTAATTTTGCTTATCTTATATTTTTTTTCAATAGCCGCCCGTGCAATGCACGAGGCAAAATATATACTAGTAGAGCAAGAAGTAATCTCATATATATATATATATATATATATATATATATATATATATATATATATATATATATATATATATATATATATATATTTTCCTTTTCTTCCTTTCTGGAGAAATTGTTAGTACAAATTAAATTTAAAATCAGGGACTTTTACCAAACTCCTATACGGCAGGGGTTAGGCTAAGCACTCCCAACCTGTTCATGTACTTTCAAAAAGAATAAATAAATTAAGACTTGAACCCAAATTAATTAAACATTACATTTAAGTACCACGTGCTATATTTTGTGACATAATTAATAGTGGTAATAAAATTACAATGCAATGATATATTAAGACATTGATTTGTGTAAGAAGTTTGGCCTCAAACTTGCCAAACTTTCTTAATTTATATTGCACGCGTTGAGAAACTACAAGAAAATTAAAAATGGATGATGGTATTATGAAGTAGATTATTTTACTTGACTATGACCTTAAATAAATAATACATAAGTCTCGTTTGGTTGTTAAGACACGATTAATTAAGATAAAATTAAATAATCTAACGAAATTCAGTTGTATAAAGGTCCAATAAAAAATATGACTGGAAGGCAAGATAAGTCATAATAACATAATATATTTGCTGGTCAATCCGCCAAATTATAGGAGATATACCAAACGTCAAACAAAGTTCAATTATTAATTAATAATGGTTAATCTCCCTAATCAAACGAGACCATAGTATATACATGTTTAAAAGTACATATAGTGACTAATCATGTAATAATATATCCTTCAACTGACTACAACATTGACCTAGTTGGTGAGATAAGAAAAGTGCGGCGACTAAATCAACATGAATTCGATCACCGTCCTTGCCCCCAATTGTATTTTATATGTTATTTATTTTTTAAATGTAAAACTTTATTACTTTATACAACTTGTATTATTACTCTAATCAGTTCAAAAATAGATACACAATTTTCATATAAAAGAAAAACAATTTGTGGTAAAATAATATTTATTAATTACTACTGTATTTAAAGTATTACTGGTTGAAATATAAATAGTAGTATTTAGCATCATATAAAACTTTTAGTCAATGATTTTCTCAAATTTTAAATATGAACAATTAGTATAATAGTTATAAAAAAGGACTCGTAGTTTCAATATATTTGAAATTCAATCGTAATATATAATAGTTAAATCTCTATAAATTAATACATTTGGGACCATCAAAATTCTATTAATTTAGCGAAATATGAACTTATTAATAAATAATTAAGAATTATTAATTTATACATTAATTAATAACTTATTAATTTATGAAATAATTTTTATTATTATTTTCAATAAATATATTTTATTTTTTAGTTGTTACGTATATATATTACTCATTCTACTATTAGTTCAATGTATCATAGAGCCCATTTCTCGAACATTAGCTCTTAAAGCAATAATGAAAGTGAGCAATTTTATGTTGAGTTATGAGAAGACTATACCAAAAGTTCTAACCATGTTAAAAAAAAAGTTAGGGACGAGATTGATAATGACGCGAACTTCAACAAGAAATAAGTGACAATTAAATCATAATTTTATCAAGCCTTCATAGATCCACAAAATATGTATTGTACTATATAATTTAAAGAATTATTTTTAAGTATTATTAATTTATATTATACGGGACTTCTTACAAAATTTGAATATGTATTATCTTATCAATTTATTTTATTATTTAAGCGAGGTTATTAATTTATCTGATATTAAATTATCGAGGTTCTACTATATATATAGGGTAAATTACAACCACCCCCTAAGGTATGGTCAAATTACGAAAAAAACACTCATGTTTGGATAATTATAACTACCTCCTCAACTATGAATATTCTTACACGTCCACCCTTATGGTATCAAATTCAACATAATCTTTCTAGATTCCGTGGAAATTTTCTCTAGTTTGTATTCATTTTTGTGCAAAAATGCAGGTTTTTTTATGCACCCATAATCTTATATATATATATATATATATATATCCAAAAAACACATCTTATGGGCATCTTGCTTAATTCAAAATGTGAATGTCGAATGAGATAAAACGGTTACAAAATTGAGAATATTCCATATAATCTAAAAGATAACACAAATTTGACAACACAAGTATGGACGTATAAGAAGATTTATAGTTGAGGGGGCTGTAATAACCTAAACATGAAGGGGTTTTCGTAATTTGATCAGACCTCACGGCTGGTTGTAATTTACCCCCATCTCTCTCTCTCTCTATATATATATATATATATATATATATATATATATATATATATATAGAGAGAGACAATGTTACTTAAAGCGATGGTTTTGGAATCTTTTGTTTAGTTCATTATATTGTTTAGGTTAGACTTTTTCACAAGTTAATAAAATGTCCAAACTAGTACATTTTTCAAAAGTTGTCGCAACTATACATTATTAAACTACACAACTCAAACAAAAGTGCATGTTTGCCTATTATTAATTAGATGCGCATGGAGTTTTTTCATCACATGGCCACAGTCCAAATAAATTAATTAATCAACTGGTATTAATTAACATTCAAATTAAGTATAAGTATTAATTACTAATAGTCTAATAGTCCCACATTAATTTCATGATATATTAATTTGGTCGGTACTATTAGAATCACACCATCTAAATATTTCTTTATATTTTTCTGAATTGGAATTATTTGCAATCCCATGTTATGATGATGTCAGCATTTTGAACAATAAAATATCAAGGCAAATATGGAGGGAAACGAGAGATCATTTCGTGAAGTCTAGTATATGTGTGGTCAAGTGTGGGAAAAGCAACAATGAATCTCATATGGGCGACAGGAGACCCAATATATTGGATTTTAATTTGTCACACCTAATTAATTTCCAACATCTCCTTTGTTAAATTAAATATAATAATTGATGGGATTCGGCTCGACACTTTGAAGCCGAGCACCCCATACTTAAGACTAGTAGGCTGGAGCCCAACCAAATCTAGGCGAACAAAGAGAATCGAGATAAGCCGAGGTGTTCGTCGAAAAGAGAGCGCAAAGAAAAGGAGGCCAAAGAGCTCGCACAACTGGTAGTATACTTCACCTGATCACAAGATGTCAGTTCGCAAGATAAGAGCGGGGGTAGGTGGTGAACTAGAAAGCGGACATTATGTGGGGAAGATTCGAGTACATTTCCAGTAAACAAATAAATAAAATATAAATTAGGGTAAATGACAACCAACCCTTGAGGTATGGTCAATTTACGAAAAAACCCCTATTGTTTGGATAATTTCATCTACCCCTCAACTATGATTTTTCCTTACACCTCCACCCTTATGATGTCAAATTCAACATAATCATCTAGATTTCGTGGAATGTGCTCTAGTTTGTACTCGTTTTGTGTAAAAATACAGTTTCTGATGCACCAGAATCTGATATATACAAGCCAAAAAACTCATATTATGACCATCTTACTTCAAAATGTGGAGCTCGAAAACGGGTACAAAAGTGATAATATTCCATATAATCTTGAAGATTCCACTAAATTTGAAACCGCAAGGGTGGACGCGTATGAAAATTCATAGTTAAGGGGGTGATTGTAATTACTCAAACAAGAGGGGTTTTTATAATTTGGCCATATCTCAAGGGGTGGTTGTAATTTATTCTATGAATTAATGATTTGAAGATTGATCGATATATTGATGTAAACTGAGGACGGATACAAATGTCCTCAATTAGAAAAGCAACCATATATGCTTTCCTATATAAACAAATGTACAAAAACCCTATTAGGGTTACGGGCCTAATCGATAATACAATTCATAGTTTCTCTAAAACTCTCTTTCTCTCTTTTACATTCTCTCTGTAGTCTTGTTCATACTCTCGGCCTCGGGCCCTAAATCCGACAACGATTGTGCTTCTCCGACGAACAAGTGACCAGGACTTAAGAAACGTCTTATGATATTTTGGTGCCATCAATAATAATTACGAAATTGCCATAGGCTTTCATTTATAACTCTTTTTTTTTTTTTAATATTTTTTATTACTCCTAAAATTTGCTCACTTCAGTCTTGTAAGTTAGATATATTAAACTTGATTTTTCTTGTAACATTTCTCCCAAAATTATTTAATTTGAAACTATATATTAATATAATTATTGGAGAGAGTGACAGGTTTGAATGAAAACAACCACATGCATGTTCACGTAGAAACAGCTTGGTGTCAATCGAACTTTTTAGATTTAAAAGGCATCACATTACATGTGATTCAATTATTTGTTGGATGTTTTCCGGACAGAAATCAAGAAAGGGCATGTTAGTACATGTTGAGTGTAGATTTTACATTAAATACATTTATTTTACGTGGATGTTTTGTTTATATTTAATTACATTTGTGCTTTAATTGGTTGATTTTGTATTTAATAGGTGAAGAATCAGAATTATGTATCCATGAAGGAAAAATGATCAAAAATAAAAGAAAAAATTACAATTAGGAAGTAAATCAAATTGCAAGAAGGAATCTCGCAGCAGCTTTTACAGTGTTCACCATTTCGGACATATCTCACTCATACGAACTCCAAATCACTTGATTCAGACGACATTGGAAACCTAGCTTAAAGGGCTACAATTTGTATTTGGCACAACATTTCAAAATTTGGACTCCAACATAGTCAAAATTGGATTCAAAATCGACCAAAGTGCAGACAAAGCTTCGGACGGCCGTCCCAATTTTGTACTAAAATCTGGGACAACCGTCCCGTCATGCGAAGTTGAGCAGTAAGTAGGCTACGAAAATTTAGATGGTCGTCCCAAAATGACCTGAAATCGCAGACGGCCATCCTAGACCCCGATTCTGCACAGTTTGTAAGTTTTAATTGCAAAAGGAATATCTTTCCTTTTGATTAAGTCTTAACCACTATATCAATGGGATCCAAGGACGACGGAAATTTACACCGCAAAATGCGAAGAACGAATATCAAAACTCAAGCATATTTTTTCTTATTTCTTTTATTAATATTGTTTTGCTTATCATAAGAATCACGAGTAGCTAAGTCTTTAGTTTCTAGGATTTTATTCAAATCCTATGTGGGATTTGTGAACTCAATTCTATGATTTTATGCAAGTATTTATTTTGGATTATTTATTCTACTTGATTTATTAAGTATATGAACTTGATCACTTTATGTGCTTTATTGTTATTGTTGAATGCACGGATCAGAAGATCGGTTTAAAAATTAGAACTATAGTAGAAGAGCCTTTGTTGTGTTAGCATAGGAATATAGTTAATCTCTTAGGATTGTTGTTTTTATTAGTGTTTTTTTCTTTTTAGCTTCATCCCCCATCCTTTTGTTCGTCTAGATGAAGTTTAGGATAGTATAATTACGGTACTTGGTAAATTTAGGCACTTAATTTTCTGTGGATTGATATCTGTAATTCACTATTCTACAAAGCGCGATACTGTACCCTTGCGGTAATTCATGCGTAGGTTTTACGCGTATCACTCATATAGACAATGTTCATTTTCACCAGGAAAAGTAAGTCGAAGGGGGCTGGTTGTCGGCGCATACAACAACGGAGAAACAGGCTCAGAACCAGGCTCGCAAAGTCTGATCCCACATCGGGAGCGGATCAGGCCAATCAGTTTCTTCGCGGTGATTTTGGATTTAGGACCCTGGTCTTCCGAGATCCGTTTTCCAGGATTCGACTCCAAAGGACGCTGGAAATCAGAAGCATAAAAGTTGGGCTATCGACTTCCGTCAGCCGAGGGACAAGCCTTACATCCTTATATCTGCAATAGAACAAGAGAAGAGGCAGTATGAGAATACAATATATCAAGGAAGAAGTGTTGGGGATCGATGCATGTATACGCAGCGGAAAACAAAATTTAATCGAACTCAATGTTCGATTACATGCATTAATCAATTAATTGAACGTACCTTAACGCTTCCGCCATACACATGGTAATTTTTCATATTTTAATCGAAATTAAATAAAACGAAAAACAAAGACGAGCATGCTTGCATACGACATCATGAAATCGAAAACATACATTCTTCATATAATTGTCATGCTCACAAATTAATTCACATAATCCAATTATGAATTAATTCGCAGGGGTTTTCGATTTTACCTCTTGAAGCGTGAGATTTCGACGAATCGAAATCTATAAACTAAGTCACGTACAAGCTGCTATTAAACAACTCCAAGGCTGCGAAGAACCGACCGAACAGCAGCTGGTCCGATCTGATCTCGACGGCGGCACATGAGGTGCAGCGGCGGCGGCGCGTGGCAACGGCGACGGCGCGTGCGGGGCTGGCGGTGGTGGAGTTGCGTTCTTCCTCTCCAATTAGGTTTCACCTCGTACAACTAGACCCACTCTAACTGCAGTACTAGATACAGAAGAGTTAGAAAACAACGGGAATAAAGACGAGGAAGAAAAGAGAAGAAACCGGCGGCGGCGGCGGCGGCAGAGCGGCGGCGCGACGGCGGTGCGGCGGTGCAGCGGCGGGGCTGCAGCCGTGAGGCGGAGGACGGCCGTGCTTCATGCGGCTAGGGTTTTGGGGTTGTAAAATCTGATCTCAACTCATCATATGAGTTGTATTTATACTAGGGTTCATAACCCTCATTGGCTTAAATCATTGGGCTTGACCCACTGATCCATTAAGCCCACCCCTTCGTCGGCCTCGTTTCTTACAAACGATCGTCCACAAAATTATAACAAAATTATATTTGTGACGAGCATAAAGTCCTCGTCGATACGAGTGCCTCTTTGAAATTTTCAATTTCCAAAATTGGAAACTTCTAATTTAGTGGACCTGCTAAATCGGGAAACTACCCAATTTAGAAAGTTCACTAAATTTACGCATATCTCTTTCTCTCCGTTTATTCCAATTCGTAATCCACAATTACGAATCTTAGATTCAATCATATTGATATCCAACTACGCAAAGATTAACACATTAATCTATGCTTGTTGTTTTTCAAGGATCTATGTTACACGAGAAGTGTGACCCTCAATGGTTCAGGTGTAAGCTAGCCGTGGGCTCACAACTCTTTGTGATTCGAACAACACATTTTTCTTATACGAACTCCTCCCAAGAGTCCCGATTAGGGTAAAACTCATTTTACTCAATCGCCGATCAAATCGGTGCCCACCGAATCAAGATTGGCGTCTAGCAACTACGCATCATGATTCCGTAGATACAAATGAAGTGCCTGCAAGAACCTTGTGATATAGTTAACGTACAGTACGATCCCTTCGCAGCAAATGTCCCGATTGAACTAGAGGTATTGGTCCACCGAGACCTCTTATTAAGTTCAATAACCGTGCGAACGTTCTAGGTGTTATAATCCATTCGTGTGTGACTTAGAGAAACACATTTCCCTAATCACCCCACTATCAACTCCGGCCGGAGATTCCATGGATTACAAACCGACAGAACACACAGGACATCCATGACTACTCAAGCGCTCGAATTCCCTACTACAATGCACAGACTTCACACTAGATTTCGGACTGCACGAACGTTGGCCCTTGGAGCGGTCCGCGGTGGGACTCAGGGACAGGTCACGATACAGTCGGTCCTCTAATGAAGTCACGGTGATGTCTGGGTCTTAAGGACTAATGGTGCAAAACTATATCATAGAAACCTATTACTCGATGATTGGGAACCACTTATAGATTTCTAGGCGAGGGAGTTCAGTGAACTCATCTAATATGAGCACCCACTCAAGTATGCCGATGTCACAACACCGATGACTGATGAGACGCAGTACACATACACTAAGTGCTAGTCTCAAAAGGGAAAGGCCGGTATCCTCATTATTGGCGTAACCCATCGACTAGGAACAAGGTTTAACAGTTACATTACATTGCTGAGTTATCTCACGATTCTACTAGATCAACTCACAGTAATAGAGTAACTCGTTAGGACTATATCTATGCTGCTTGCATGGGATAAGAGATATAGAATGCCAAAAGGTATTTTACCATTAATTTGAAATAGATTATTTACGAGTAGCGTGAGAAAACACAACACTTAGTTGGCTTATTGGTCACATAATCTAACAAGAAGAAACAGGGAAGCCATATGTACATATGTCAGGAAGCCTACCTAGTGCAGCGTTGCGACATGGGTTGGGTCTTATTATTGTAGAAGTAAAAGTGACGTAATAGCCACAGTATTTAACAAGTATCTCGGGCAAGCCAAAACTTCGCCGAAAATGAGTTATAAGTCGTAACTCCCAGTCGTCAATGGGAAGAGATTTGCTTCTTCTCTCATCGGGGAAGGTAACAGTACAAGGGCGGGGATATGATGAATCTGGATTTTTTGCGAAGAAATAATGACCTTGCCACCCGTCCATTTTGTTCGGAGGCATACGAGAAGAGATGCAGACGTGGATGGGTTTGAGTTTTTTAGGACCATAACACTCCTAAAGTGGGCTGGAGAAGGAATGGCCCCGGACCAGGCACAAAGCATTCAAAAATCAGTCATCATTACGATCAAGTTGGGATGAAACTGGTTTATAGAGACCTCGTAAGTTTGGGCTATCTCGGTAAAATAATTAGGGGAGACTGGAAATGAAAGACCGTAGTAAAATTGTTCAGAAAACCAAGTACTATAACCAGGATGGGGCATGTGGGAACAACCAGAGGCAAGGGAAGGACTAACTCGAAATCCGAGGAGAGACCGACGTCTCTGATTAAATTAATGAGGTCAATATCGGTTAAGTAGGGGAGATAATACGTATATATACCAGGTAAAATTGTAATTACAAATGGACTTTGAGGGTAATATGATAATAGCACTTTACAAGTTATTTGGGAAAAAAGATCGGACTACCTGATCACATCTCTGGCAGTCGGATCCGGTATCACGTGATCGGTGGATTGTAACCTGGGGTCATGATCCATCTTGGATCTGGTTGTAACGAACCATATCTGAGATCCACCCAGTTTAAAAAATCAATATGCCTGGATCCGTCCAACCAAAACAACCCTTACCGTAAAACGAGAACCGGCAACTACATTTCTTTGTCCCAATATTTCAAGAATTCTTCACATCAATTTATTTTCGCCGTCCATGCACGTCAATAACTGATAATTGGTGTCTTAAGACGCACATATCTACCGGCCCACACAATTAATCTACACAATTAATGCTTCCCTAGTTTCGAACACAATATCCACAACAAAGAAATTACCGTATTTGAACTTCGAACTTGTCCAGCGAAACATCATCGAACTTGTCCAGCGAAACATCATAACACAAGTCGCCATCATCATCATCATCATCATCATCATCATCATCATCATCATCATCATCATCATCATCATCATCATCATCATCATCATCATCATCATCATCATCTACCTATAAAAGTTAAACAAAATAATTTAAATATAAACAAAACATGAAAAAAAACAGGTATTCTGTGCTTTAGAAGAAGTTTGTTTAAATATAAACAAAATATGAAAAAAAGAACAGGTATTCTGTGCTTTAGAAAAAGTTTGTTTAAATATAAACAAAACATGAAAAAAAAAAAACTCAGGTATTCTGTGCTTTAGAAGAAGTTTGTGAAGTGCATCTAATAAGATATTGATTTTTGACAATTAATTAAATGCATAAGTCTAATATTCTAATATTTTTCGAAATGGTGTACTATGGCACACATAAACATCAATTTGAAATTTTGTTTAGAATACAAAGGTAATCGTTCACAATGTAGAAGGAATTGGACTAACCATTAGTAAAAGAGTGTAGCACAATAATTGAGTGATTGGTCTTGATCACGGTAAAAAGAGAATAACTTTTGTCGTCTGTATTATTTCTAGTTGACAATAAATTACTTAATCTTTTAATCCCTAGATAATTAATGTACACGTTTAATTGGTGATCTCTACTTTGATTCACAATTGGAGAAATATCTATATTTAATCAAATGAACATCAGCGCATTGGGTAGAGACATTAAAAATTAATAGGTGGGAATTAATTATTCAAAGGAATCCACATCCTGAAATATGAAATTGGTAATAACCCTTTAATAAGTTATAAGATTTGTTTATTCCAAATCCTGGGCAGGAGGATATAAGATCATTATCCCAATAATGAGTAAAAATAGCTTATAAGATCATTATCCAAAGACTTAAAAAATTAACTGTAAGAATAAAATGTAATACCTTATCACCTCTTAAACCATCTTATAGCTCTTAAACGATCTTATGAGTTGTTTAAAGTAAGTATGGCCAAACGGGCTCTTAAGTCCCTAGTGTAGGTCCATAGATTTTTTTAATTAATCGAGAAAATGAAATTCAACCAATAATATATTTTTTGTAGAAAGAGTTGAAAATTAGAATCATTTTTGTAGGACCATATTACTTGTGGAAGAAGGATTTAGAGAATTTTTCTCTTCTTCTTTTCTCTCTCGATTTGTTAATTATAGATTTAGAGTGCGTTTGGATGAAGGGATTTGAAATGACTCTAATTTTGAGTCATTTGAAATTCACCTCTATTGCTCAAAAAACAACTAAAAAAAACTAAGGCGTGTGGATTTGAAATTCATCTCCAAATTCTTCAATTCAAACAAGTCCAAGAAATTTGTTATTATGGATTTAAAATCCCTCCCCCAAATCTCTCCGTCCAAAGACACTTAGTTTTATTGAAGTACAAACCCAATAGAAGGATTAGAGACAAGCTCAATACAAAATTGGAGGTCTCCTCAGCTTACGTTCATTCTCGAATTTGCTGAGCAGTCCCGCGAGGAAATTCATAATAAATCAACCATTTATCCGAATGACTTGAAAAGTTTACATTAGTTTCCTAACCCATAGTTATACAATTCGTCCAAAGGGTTTTTTTTTCCATCAGACCGATAATCACAGAGATATTGGTGAAGGAAGAGGAATGAAAATTTTAGGACTAACAATTTTACAAGAATGGAAAGCTTAGCGTGGATTCCCGTTCGTGCGCCGAAACTAAAAACAAAAAAGACACACAAGGATTTTTGAAATCCATAAGCAAATCTTAGATTAGATTTAATTCCGCATCATGAGAATTTAATCTGCGTAATTATGCTTAATTAAAGCTATTTATTAGTAAGTCCCTTATTTTAATTAAAGCTATTTGTAAGGACCTTCACCCAATTTCAGCTTGTTACAAAAAAGTATAAACTCATATGGCGAACCTGATCAATTGTGTTCTCCTGAAATTCGAATGAGTTCCGACGGTAAGAAGAGAAAAAGGCCTAAGCCCTACGAGACTCAGTTTCCGGTGGAACTATTTTTAAATTCACTGCCGTCGTCGAAGCCCGATTTCTGCCGGTTGATCGCCGTTGTTTCCATCGCCGCGGCGGTGGCGGTGGCTTGTAACTTCGTCGCCACCTCTTTCAGTCAGCCGCCCAAACCATTCTGCGATACTACTTCCGATCCCGATGGTTCGCCCTTCGGTAATGTTTCTAATTTATTCTCGCCCTATTCAATTTTGCTGCCCTAGTTTTTTATTGATTTTATTTATAGTTTATGGAACGAAGGTCACATTTGATAATGCTAATTACACTCTGTGTGTGTGTGTGTGTGTGTGTGTGTGTGTGTGAAGAAGTTTCCGTTCTACTGTTAATATTGCTTTTATATTTGTGCTTGTTAGTTATAAAACAACAAAGAGTTCTGAAAGTAAACATAGAAACACTGAACTGTGAGAAATCAAAGTAAAAGACAAGGAGAAAAAGATTTCTTCATGCTAGTATACAGGCAAATGAAATAAGACCTGTTTTATGTAAGAAAAAGGATACTGCTGTGGTCAAATTAAGAAAATTATTTTCGAATTACTCGAGACTCATCCAATTTTATTAAGGACTCCAAACAAAAGGTAGTTGTTGAAAGAACTTATGGTATACACGTATACAGGATTCGGTACTTGTCTTCATTTGGTTGAGTTCTAAGTCCAGTTTCGAGCTTTATCTTTATAAGCATAGTCAGGTTTGCAAATTAGTTCATTAGAATCGAATTGAGGTTTCTGAAATGGCCTCAAACTCTTAGTAGAGTTTGCCTTATTAAATTCACATGTGCCATGCTGTTTATAACTTTAGGCTCTAGAATGATCAACAACCCAAAATCGTCGAGCTGGACTTCGGCTCCTTAAAATCTGTTAACTTCCAACTCTTTGCTTTTAGCTAACATGCAGTAACCTTCCTTTTCATTCTCTTGAAGATTTAGAACAAACAGAATGATGTATAGACATCCACTTAGGCAACCAAAACAGTGAAGAATGAGAATCGAGTTCAGCAAAGAGGGGAAATTTATTTAGTATTATGCTATAACTAGACTTTCACTTATACTTAAATGATAAAACGTTACTTGAAATGTAAAATATAAAAATATAATGAAAGAATTTAAAGCTCTAGTTTTTCTGAGAATCTTGTTCAGGCTCAAAATTGAGAAGCTAAAAGTCCTGAAGTAAGAGCTGGTTCTGGTTGTGCTGTTCACCTATGCACAAGGAATACTGCTTCTATTATAACTACACACATCAAAAGAATGTTTGGACTTAGACACCCACTAACTTGCAGAAAATCATGAATCGTCTTTTAAAATCAAATGAAATTCTTTTTTTTTTTTTTTTTTTTTTTTTTTACCTTTTTTAATGTTCGGCAATAAACCTACCCGGTCGCCAAATGTCTCAATTCTAAAGTTATTTGGAGCATATATCTACTATTAGAGTAAAAGGCATGCGAGGCACGAACATGAAATGATGTATAAAAAAGTCGGGATGCGTGAGAAAGGATAACCACAAGAAAACTCGTATAATGTGGGGAACTCAAAGTATATATTCAATTGAAATAGTAAAGGTTATATTCCTATTTACTTTCCTCAAGATGGATTATGTTTCAACCAGGTTTTTTTTAGCGTTAGTTCAGTCCTAGTTACACTCAAATTTGACGTCTAACTTGACTCCAAACTATTATGGGACTTAGAAAAAAACTCTACAACTTAAATTACAATCATGTAAACAACCAAACTGGATTTTACACCAGATTTCTTTGAATGAAACAGCACTGTTGAATAAAATAATACTTTTTACATTCTTCTCATTAATCCTTTGTTCTCTGCATTAGGGACCTATGTCGACAACTATAGATATTTAATGAACTGTCGGAATCTAACTGGCATGTAAGGTAGGTTACTTGTTGGAGCTGCAGACGAAGATACAACATTGGAGTAGTATTAGCAACCCTAACCACCAGTGATAATGTTTCCCGGAAGAAGTACTTACGAAATTATATGTTTGTCTCCACTGTGTTGACCTCACTAGTTCACATTGTTGCCCTAATATTTTCTGATCTCATCTACACATTTCTCATATCACACATTTTATAAATTGCCTTCCTTTCAAATATATTGTTTATATCATGACTGGGAATCTATCACACAAGCACTTTATGAAAGCTAGGAGGCTGGGAGGGTTTTTGTTATTGAACCATTTTCCAACTAACATTTCATTACCACTTAAAGAGATTTGATGAATTATTCGTTTCTAAAGATAGTCGTTGCCAAGGTAGTTAAAATCGGGATTTTAAGTGAAATCGGAGAGGGGTAGTAAAATCGGAAACGTAAAATCGAATCGTAAAATCGTAAAATCAGATTTTACATGTATTGTAAAATAAATATATTTATTACTTACTACTAAGAAACATCCTAAACACAAATAAAATAAGTCATAATATACATAAAATATGTCCTAACAAATATAAAACATCCCAACATTAACAAAACATGTTTTAACATTAGTTAAACATAGCAGTGTTAGGAGATAACTGAAACTGACACTCACAGCCGCTGGATGTTTTTTTTAACAGAAGAGAAGTATTTTCTTCTCGTCATGATAGATTGTTATTTTAGGTCAAATTTAGGCTGAGCTTTATATATTCTGGATTATTTGGTAATTTGCTGAATTTTTTTAGTTAAAAAACTGAATTTATGATACTAGAATCCAAAGTTTCAGCCAAATTCTTGACAAAAACCAAAATCGCAATAAAATCGCGTTTTTAACGATTTCGAACGTGATTTCACACGATTTTAAGGCACTTGCGATTTTAGTGCGATCTTACTCCTTTTCAGTGTGTAAAATCTTAAAGTCTTACGATTTTACGATTTAGATCTCGATTTTGACTACATTGGTCATTGCTTTATGTAGTTATGTAGTCTTAACAGTTGAGTCAGCCGTACTGCATGTTACCAGCATTTTACTGATTGTTGCTTTTGCGTCAGATTACTGTGAACCCTGTCCGGAAAATGGAGAATGTTACGATGGCAAGTTGAAATGTATCGACGGCTATAGAAAGCATGTAAATTTATGTGTTCGGGATGGAGATGTTGACAAAGCAGCTATGAAACTCGTGCGTTATATCTGTCTTGTACTTTCTCTTTAAATTATTTTATTTATCCACACTCACCTTTATTTCCACGAGTAAAATCTCACTAGTATGAACTGATGATATTGCAGTCAAAATGGGTAGAAGTTCGTCTGTGTGAAGCTTATGCTCAACTTTTGTGCAGTGGAACTGGAAAATGTTGGGTTTGTGATATTTAGATTCTTTTAAACATTAGCTGGTTTCAGAAACTTATCTCATGCAATGAAGACAACATAGATAACCAACTTATCGTAGCTATATGCATTATGATTTCTTAAATTTTATATTTTAGGTTTCAAAGGATGAGCTCTTTAATGAATTGGATAACTACAATTTGGGAGATAATCACAGAGTGGATGAGTCCATTTACGCGCCAGCAAAACAAAGAGCCATCCAAAACATCCACAGTTTATTGGAGACTAAAAGAGACGATTATGGGTAAGCTCCTTTTAGTATTTAAGTAAGGAAGTGTGGCATTTTTTCTAAAAAATAATTTAACTTCTTCATCCTTTTGATTTGATTTACATAAATGCTGTTTTAGGATTGAAGAATTCAAGTGCCCAGAGTCGCTTGTGAACCATTATAAACCACTCTCCTGTGTCGTGCAACAGTGGCTTATCAAGCATGCTTTACTTTCAATACTCACTTTTCTGTCGGTACTTCACTATATAATGCCGCTATTTGGTATTTCGATACAGAATACAGCTGTAAAAGCTTATGTTATAGCACCTGCATGTTAAAGATTGTTGACCATATTGAAGTTTACAGCTTGTGGGATGCATATTCATCGCAAACAGGGCCTATCAAAGGCATCACTTGTCTGTCCGAGCCGAACATCTTTACCATGAGGTATGAAGTCATTGCTTTGTTTGATATGCGTAGTTAACTTATAGGCCTATATCGTTACCGTGTTTGAAATAGAACTTTCTGGTGTATGGTATAAGAGGCTGGAAAATTCCATTCTCAATTAAAGTCTTTTGAAGTCTTTCTTATGCTGAACTGGAATTCCTTGGTAGCCTTTTAATAAATGTAAAAAATTTAAAATATTTTGTTTCTTTTCTGGTGTCTTATTGATGGGGATTCAAATATTAGTACCTGTTCGAGGGAGGTAGCAAAAATCTCACCCCTGTAAATGAATTCACGAAGTAGAAGATTCGAACAGCACAAGTACAAACGTAAGAGTCATAACTGAATCCATAAGCCTATAGAACAAATTAGGAAATTTCTAGGAATGAATCCCTGATTTTTAAGGATAAACTATTAGCTGGTATGAATCCCTATTCTTTATATATATTGTTTGTAAATAACCGTGAAATCTAAACAATATGGATGCATTAATTATGCATTACTAAACATGAATTAGTCAACTTTCTCAAAAATGTTATGCACACAGTACAGGAGCGCACTGTTAATCTTATTTATGTAGCTTAATTACTTTATTCTTCAGTCACGACTGAGTTTTTGAGACTGCTCTTACGTATTCTCAACTAACAATCAAGATATGTATGTCTGTAAATATATGAGCATGCATTTTCTTATTTTATGTGAATAAATGAATGAATAAATGTTAAATATGTATTTCATGATCTCTATCTCTAATGCAAACATATTTCTCAACAAAGTAATAGACTTGATCAAAATTTCTCAGCAAATTAATAATTGATAATGCTAGATGTTGTCCTCTCACTCCCACTATTGTATGAGAAAGAATTTTCCAGGAATATACATGTTCTGATTAATGGTTTTGAATAATGAAAAGATTTAAATAACTGTTGATATCTTTATCTGTATATGGTCTGTCGTTTCAGATGATGTAATCTTAATCTATTGCTAGATGCTGAGGTTTTAATTTCCTTAAGAGTCTTATTACACTACAGAGACTAGCTGGATTTTTTCGGAGTTAAAAATTGACTGATTCTCTCTGGCTGTTGCATTTTTAACATGCTCAAAGACTACTATTAATTGAGATGGTAATTATTTTAGGTTTGTGATATACTTGAAGAGAAGCCGTTGGAGTCCAGGAGAGTAAATGGTGAATGTGAACCCTGGATCGTTGCCTCCTGGTTGCGAGATCATCTTCTCTCACCGAAAGAAAGAAAGGATCCACTTTTGTGGAGAAAGGTATTGAGATCTAATTAATGTTTGCCATCTAATTAATGATTTGATTATTAGTTAAAAAATTATACTTTATTTTTATTTTTTAAGATAACTTCACTTATTGATAAGAAAAAAGATACAAAAGGCCGAGTTAAGGCCTATAATACCAAGTGTGAATTTATCCAAGCGTTACAGTTAAAAGTTATCTTTGCTATCAGCTAAATATTGTATGAGGTCAAACTATATTGAAAATTTTGTGACATAAGTAGCATATGTGGTTTAGGTCATAGTCGGCGTGACTTCAACCTTCTGATTATTTCTCTTTTAATTAGATATTTGTTTACTTGACCTGTTTACGTTCCGGTTCTCTGTTAGGCTCCATGTAGAAAGGATCTACTATTTTTTGTTAATTAAAAAAATCACATGATTGTCATTTCTGCTGCTGTTTGTTCTTGTAGGTTGAGGAGTTGATTCAAGAAGATTCCCGTATAGACCAGTACCCAAAGTTACTAAAGGGCGAATCAAAGGTTGTATGGGAGTGGCAAGGTACGAATACAATCATAAGATTATGCACAAAACATATAGATTGTTTAGGAAGATGAAAAATCTCAACGCCGCACATGTCTTCTAAAGAACTTTTTAGTGCATAATCGTATGGTGTGAAAAATACGCCACATGTTTTGTTTTTCTGCTGCAGTAACACGAACTCTGCTTCTGCGGTTGACTGTGCAACTATCTCCTCTTTTTTGAGCTCCAGAAAACATTTAAGCAAAGGCTAAAGCAATAACCGAACTTGAATTGATCGATCTGAACCTTTACTATAGCAATAATAACCTCTACTATAACAAAGAAGCGACACCTGTAAATAACAACCCAGATCTAAACATAAAAGCACACTGACTTAGTGCAGTACCAAGCAACTAACTGTCGTGAACCTCTAACAGAAAAATATGTTAGTTGCTGCATTTTTTCAGCAAAGTGCATTGCAGTTTTTGTGTTTAACATCGTAGAGCTTGGTTCCGATATTCATCAATGACAACGAAGGTATAAGAAGGTCAAAATAGCACTTTCAAGATATATTGCAAGTACTTCAATATTATATAATTACCGAATGTCTTAAGGATTTTAACTTATATCATGTATTGTCAAGAGAAGGTTCAAATATTTTAGGAGTTGTAAGAAGTGCCTGCCGTTATTCTTATAATTAAAGATTGAATTCCGCATAGTGTCTGTGACAACTTTGTAAGTTCAGCTCCCAAGATATGATGTTGCTGTAAGAAAATTAGTCAAAAAATGACGGTTCAAATCTTTGAATTCCATATTATCTGCTGCTTCAGTTTTCGGTTAAAGATTCCCTGAAGTTTGACCATGTCTCTCTCTCTCTCTCTCTCTCTCTCTCTCTCAGTTGAAGGTTCTCTAGGCTCTTCAGAAAAGAGAAAGAAAACCGACGGAAATACACCAGAATTGAAGAAATCCATGAATTCATGTTCTACTGTTCATCGCAGGGTGCATGCTGGTGAGCCTTCAAGTTGTTAAGTGATGTAAACTTTCAAGACTTCATCATTTTTTATAGATCATGTATACAAGCGTGTAATTGTAGATGTGTGAAGGCATCAAATGCATCATTAATAGTATTTCAAATTTGAGTTTCGGTGTTGATCGAATATCCTCTCGTTGCCATAACTTTGAACTGAACCAACCACCCATCTCTTGTTACCCCTGGTTAGCGTTAAACTGAAAATATGGTGTCACGATTCCGCATTTATAGTTTTAGTTCGCATGAATTTGATTCTTGTACGAGCTAGTGAGGTTAATAATTTTTATTTTATTTTTTTTACTTGCTACTCAGGCTGATACGAAGATAGTATTATGAGATGGAGGTATTGTGTTGGAGCTCTCGTAAAAGATTCTGATCGATTAGTAGGCATGCTGTTGAATTTTGTTTCCCACTGATTGAATTTTGTAATCAAGCCTATGTTTATTTTCCCCCCTGAAAAATTAATGTTCCGATATATGGGCGATTGAAGGACCTGATTGATTCCCTTAGCTTGTTGTAAGTGGTAGAGTTGTAATATAGCATCTTCACAAAGTTGAAAACCAAGTTCGAGTCACTAGTGTGTATTCTTCGTTTTCACCGAAACTTTAAAGTCATATATCCGGTTTGATTTCGTTCGTTGTTTAATATGGATACCGTTTTGTTGATTATGCGTCATCTAGAAAAATATATAAGGAACTCGTTATAGGGTATTTGTGTTAAAACGACATTGAAATAGAAATAACTACATGATAAAATATCGATTTAGGAAACTTCTAGCTAGACATCGATTTGAAATTTATGAGCATAGTAGCTATATACTAATGCACAAAAATTTAGTTGGGAAGCTTTTTGATGCCTATGTATATTTGTCTTTCTGAACATGATGTTATGGTGAAGAATGTAGGAACAGAAGTAATGTTTGTTTATTCTTGATGATATTATTCTAGGTTTGAAGAGAAAACTCAAAAGCAGTCAAAATATTGAAAATTCAAATTAAATGTGAACACGTGTGGGAAATGATATCTAAATTGATATGTCAAAAGTTCTTGTTTTTATATATAAGATTTTCAACTATTTGAGTAGAAAAATGTTTATAATCAACACTTGATAAATCATACACCAAATATTTAACGTTGTACGACCTGATTTACACAATAAATCAGGAGATTCTCACATACTCATTGAATCTAATTCTGAGATGGTGGTTGGTTAACATGATGAATGGAAAGACAACGATCCAATGGAAACAACAGAATGTGTTCGGGCATGCGTTCGTAAACTTTGATAGAATATCAAAATAACTAAGCATTTGTTTTCGATAACATAATCAACTGCCTAATTTTGCTGCTAAGAAAGCTCGAGAATCTTCATCTGACAAGCACTATATACTATTTTCCACGACGGAATAAGTTTATTTACTTGTGATCGCAATTTGTGTAATAACAATTAATTGGGGTACCTTCTTTCCTTGATTTGTCGTCGTGCTCGATTTGATTTCCAGCTTGTATTGGCGCCAGCCTATGTTTAGAATGAATTTGTAATTTTATTTTATTTTTAGTATATTTTATTAATATGGTTTTTTTTAAATATATTTTAATATAATTTCAAATTAAAGTTGTGTAGGAGCGCCGAGAGGCACAATGCGAGTCTCGATCGGATTACTTCTCTAGATAATTTTACTATTCAGAGGCTCACGGACGATGTTGAGCTGTTGGAGGCATCTAAGCTTGACAGGTCACAACATTGCTACGTACGCAATGTGGATTGTGGACTTCCGTTGGCGTTCATCGAGAGTTGGCAGCCCGAGACGAACAATTTTCACATGTTGTGTGGCGAGATGACGATAAAACTCTATGATGTTTAGATGGTCTAGGATTTGCGTATCGACGGGCTTTTAGTAGGCGACGATTTTGCAAGAGAGAGAGAGAGAGAGTAGTGTGAGCTGCAGCTTGCGGAGTTTTTAGACCTTGATCTAGATAACACCTAGGAGTACTTCAGACATTCCGAAATTACGTGGATAGAGAGATCCACAATCGGTGTATTCCAGCGTGATCGGACCTGCAGCCCGATAGGAAATTTATGGTATTTTGCTCTCTTTTGGATTTTCTTGCATTCTCTTGCAAAATTTAGAAAAGCATAGAAAAATATTGTGAGAATTTCAAATATATCCGAATTTGGAACAAGAAATTATAAAATAATGTAATTTCCAAAAGTTCCGATATTTCGCCGATTCCGAGGTACTCCGAAATATTAATGAATTTTTGCATTCCAAAATTTTGAACGGAAATTGAAACCCATTTTTCACTTCCGAAAAAAAAAAAAGAAAATTTTCCAAAAAAACCATTTCCGATACACTCCGTCTGATTTCCACTCATATGTGGAATCCATTTTATAAACACTAGCAATTTTTCCAGTACGATGCACGGGTAGCATTAAAGAAAATTTAAACATGTGACAATTAAATATTATCTTTATATATAAAAGAAAGGTTTGTCCCGAAACCCTAAAATCAGTATTTTTAAATATTTTTGGAAAATATTTGTTTCCTTTATTTTCTTCTTTTTTATAGCACATTCAAAATTATTTGTTTTTTCTTCCTTTTTTTATAGAACGCATTTCGATTTTTTTTTTAATTATTTTTTTTTCTTCTTCTTTTTATTTCCCCACGAAACACTGTCAATTTTTTTTTACGTTTTTATTTCTTTTTAAAAAAAAATATTTTCCTTTTTTTTTTCCTCTTCCAGCACTAAATTTCCTCTTTTTTTATAGGACACGTTTTTTTAATTATTTTGTTTTTCTTTTTTTATTGTTTTTTTTCCTCCCCCACTAAACACGTCCAACTTTGAAATTTTTTTTCACGTTTGTTTTTTTTTTCCATTATATTTTTTTCTTTTTTTCTTCTTTTTTTGTTATTTAAACTTAATAATTTATTCGTATCTAGAAATTTTCTATCATATACATAAGAGTTAAGAAAAACAAGATCATTCTAATTATAAACGTGGAGAAGAACCATACAAAGATTATATTAGTGGCTAAACATTTAATATTTTATTGAATTTTTTTATAATATTTTATTTGATCATTCATATTACACAATAATTAGCAACTTATTTTACATAAAATTCATCATATATAACTTTTTTTTTTATTTGTAAAGCAATTAATAATGTGCAATTTTTATCAATTAAATCTTAAATAGTATAAATCATTGACTAAAATAGTAAGAATCACGTGCATTGCACGTGGTACTAACTAGTATTACTAATATTACTATCTCAAAAAGTAATTAGTGAAAAGTTAATTGATGAAATTGTGGTGTAAATCATGAAACTGAAGTTGAATTATGGTAACAAATATAATTGATCGAAACAATATAAAATGATATATAATAGGTCGCAAACTATAATATTTTTGTTACACTTAGAAACTAAGTTGTACCACTTTTGTTTTAGAGCTAAAAAAAAGAGGAACTAGGACAAAAGCATGAGACGTTTGTCATGTCCTCAATCCTCAATATTCTCTATCTGCTTGAGCAATTCTACCTTGGTCATTAGATTGATGATCCCCAGGTTTGTTTCATTCATGACAGTCGGAGGTAATTTTCTTCTCCAGAGCTCCAGGTTTTTTAACCAAGCCGTCATTCTTCTCCATGGCGGTGACCACCCAATTTTCTTCCTCCCGGTGGTGGTACTCTTAATATCTTTCTTTTTCTATCAGATCCATGAACACCACTCAATTTTCTTCCTCCCCGGTGGTTCTCTATCTTTTCTGTTCTTTTTCTCCATAACCTAGCTGCCGCTCTCTTCTTCTCCATGGCCGGCGACCACCAAACCAATTCTCTCCCTCCCGGTGGTGGTACTCTTCTCTCTATATTTATTTTTCTATCAGATCCATGAACACCACCCAATTTTGTCCCTCCCCCGGTGGTGATAACTTATATTATTTTCCGACATCTTGTTCTTCTTAGTCGGTAAATCTAATTTTTCTCTCTTTAATCTCTATCTTCTTTTAATTATTCCTCTTCCCCCTCTCATATCTTCTCTCAATCTCTTTCGATTCATACAAACACACACACAAAAAAAAAAAAAAATTGCTTATTTTTCTCTCACCCGTTATTATTATTATTTTTGTGTATCGCGGTTTCTGTCCAGTCTTCACTTTTAAAGTTTATTCGTTCCGACTGCGGGAGCGTATTAGCAAGTGATTGTCCAGTCTTCACGTTCGTCACGTTTCGACCGCGGGGGCGTATTAGAGTATGTTATATTATTAGATATTATAGGATATTAGGATTCTATTATGATTCGGTTACCTAGATTAGTTAGGGTTTAGTTACCTAGTCAAACTCTATTACCTCGCATTATTTCTCTATATATATTTCATGTAAATCAACCCATAACACAATGAGGGTTTCTATTATATTACGTATTATTATTTCTCTCTTTCTTCTATTATATTCGTCCTATACTTCCCCCAATTGTAATCTCCTATGCCGTCAATGTCCTCCCACAAATGAAACATCCACCAATTATCTACAACAATTACGTGTGCATACTATATTCAAATGGTAGACAACTGTACCAATAATAATAGTTTCATCATACATAAATCCAAATATTTTGATCAAACCTAAATCATCTAATTAATGTGCATAAGGGGGCTAGATACCAGCATCAAGGATCCGTGCATCCTTATCTCCTTTCTCCTTAAATTTATTTTGTGTTGGATTTAAATTTTGGGATGTTTGTGCATAAGCCTCTGACCAATCATTTTTATTATTTTAGGTTCAAGGTTTATATCTTTTTTTGCATCCTTTTAATATGTATTATAAAGGGTAATTGGCACTTTGCCCCCCAAACTATAGTGGCTTTTGCACTTTACCCCCTGGACTAATTATTTTTACAAAATTTTCCCTCAACTCATGAAACACTTGCACGGTGTCTTAAATTGGCAAATTCTGGTCTATTTTTGCCGGAATCACCCGCACATGAGCTGCACGTGAGATTTAGGAGGACACAATTGTCAATTCTATCACAAATAAACCTAGCCCTCCTTTTCACAACAATTTTCCCTCGTTTTTTACTGAGATTTTCCCTCCTTTTATTTTCATTCCCCTGCTATAAAATACTTTGCACCAATGTAACCTAAGCTCCGTATTTCCTTGTTCTTTTACCCCCTTTTTTGTCATTCAGCTTTATCTATATTTTGCTATTTTCTTGCTCGAAATGGACGTGAGTTGCAATTGTTCAAGGAAGCCAATTTCAAGAACTTCATGGACAGATATGAATCCAGGAAGAAGATACTCCACTTGTCCGAAGTACAGGGTAATTTTCGTGTATATACCTTGGTTTATGTAGATTCTCAACACCTTAAAAGAGTTCTCTATTTTATGTTCAAAATTTGTAGGAAGTTGGAGGATGCAATTACTTTGTATGGATTGACCCTCCAATGTGTGAAAGATTGCGCATGATTATACCCGGTTTACTTCGCAAGATTAACAAACGTGAGGAGGAGCTGAAGAAGAAAAGTTTGAGAGAAAAATGGATGTGGATGGTGTTTGTAGCTTCATGGTGTGTGTTGTATTTTATTATGAGAAGGAAGAAGATAATTTTGCAGAATGTTGGTGGCAAAATGATGTATCTAACTATGTGTAATTGTAGTAGGAAGTGGAAAATTGTGGTTTAATGAATTTTCTATTCTAATGCTTTACTTTCTCTGTTGCAATGTAAGTAATGAAATTTATGTTTTTATTGGCTCCGTTGTAATGTAATTTGATGTAATGTTGAAAAACAAATTATGTTACAGTAGTGTGTGTTTAAATTTTGGATATAATTTGTTGATTTATTATTACAGTAGTGTGTGTTTTAATTTTGGATGTAATTTGTTGTTCTTACAAACTTATCTTCAAAATACAAAATTATACTACTCACAGAACAACTTTAACAAAAAGAAGAAAAAAATTTATTATTCTATGAATGCATACTTCTTCCAACTTAGACTAACAATTCTTACAAAATATAAAGAAAAAAAATGTACACAGTAAAGTAGTATAATATATTGTCAAAACATAATGCAACTTGCATCATCTGTAACAAAGTAAAACATATTACATTCAACTTGCACAATCTATACTAAGGTTATCATAATACCAAAAAATAATGCAACTTGCACAAATTCTGACCAACAAAAAAAGTACTTCACTTATGCAGAATCATAAAAGGCTTACAAAACATAATCATCCAAATTTTAATACAAAACGAAGTCATCCAAAAAGTGTGCATATTATAAAAAAATGAAGATTTCCACTGCATATTAACAGTCAGTGTCATTCTTCTTGCAACATTTTCCATTTTCACTTATCTCTTTTATTTCCTAATTACTTGCAACTTGGATTTTCTTTTGGAGCTTTTCTCCACTTCCACATTCATAGTTGTCTCAATTATCTCCTCATCAACCTGTTAAAAAAATGCATTAGCATTTGAGCTTATAAACTGCCAAAATAACAATATGGCAAACTTACAAAATCCAGTAATGATTCATACTCAACCCTCAATGGCTCCTTCTCGGTCCTCAATGGATCCTTCTCAGCCATTCTTGATGTTTTTCTCTAGGAATTTAAATGAAAATACAATTAGAATAAAGAAAATGACATATAACTGAAATAATATATAAAGTAAAAAGCTTACCTTTCTTTTTGGTTCTCAATTCCAGTAGGATTCTTCAATGGACAACCAAGGGCATTGTGATTTTTTTGGTGACAAACACTGCATGACATGACCACTCCCTGTCTTCCCAATTTGCCAATCTTTGTGATTGTCCTGCCAACTTGTGCTGGTATTTCTTTGGTTGATCCTTCACCAGGCTGTTTTTTTCTACCATGAAGTTTTGGCCTTCCAGGCATTTTTTCAATCTCAGGAGGTAGCAACTTCTGTTTTTCAGAATGTGGCCAAGCATCATTGCCTTCCATGGTGTCCATCAAGTGGCTATATACTCTCATATAAGTCTCTTTCTTGTAACAATCCTCCACATAATCTTCAGGAGCGTATCCCATGAAAAACATTCCAGAAATTGCATGAGCACAAGGGATACCAGAGAGCTGCCATCTCCTACAACTACAGACCCTATGTTCCAAATTCACCTTAAACATGTCCCCGTAGCAACTTTCCAATTCAAACTGGTTGCTTCCATTCCAATGTGCAATGTACTCCATTGATTTTTTTTTCAACTCTTCCAACTGTCTTTGGATGTTAGAGAATATTTCACCATTATATTTTTCCATCTTATCCATTTTTACATAAATCCTCTTCATCAGAATTATCTTAATTTCTTCTAACATGTCAATTATAGGACAACATATGGCTTTTAAGATCATGGCATTAAAGCTCTCACACATATTATTGAGCAAGCTATCACATTTGGATGTTGTACTGAACCAAGCTCTGCTCCAATGGGTTGCCGGCCTTTTAGCAAGCCATTGATATGCACTTTTGTCCATTCCACTCAATCCCTCATAATTCTTTCAAAGTCAACAACTCTAGATGCTCTTGCAGCATTCCACAATATGTTTTTGAGAGCTAATCGCCGGTGTGACAATTTAAAGTTGGAGTATAAATGCATCACACAGAACCTATGTTCACAGTTTGGCATCAAAGTCTCCACTGCATCAATCAACCCTTTTTGTTTATCACTCATTACTGTCCACATACCACAATTGCCTATCTCTAGATCAGTTTTCAACAGGTCAATAAACCACAACCATGATTCTCTTTTCTCCTTTTCAACCGCTGCATAGGCAAAGGGGTACATGCCATTGTTAGCATCAATACCAACAGCACATAGCAATATTCCACCATAATCAGACTTCAAGTGACACCCATCAAGGAAGATCACAGGCCTACAACCATCAAGAAATCCCTTCTTTAGAGCCCCCCAACACAAATAAATTCTTTAAAACTTAAGGTCCTCACCTACAACTTTAGTTTTGATTTTCACAGTAGTGCCAGGGTTAGTTCTAACAATTTCAGAGGCATATCTCCAAATAAGGCCATACTGTTCCACACTAGAACCTGTATTTATTTGCTTAGCCTTGGTTTTAGCCCTATACATTTGCCACCTACTGAATAAAAGTTTACAGTCGTTCTGTACAACTGCCATCATGGAATCCACAGGCCAATTGGGATTTGTCCTGATATGAGCTGAATATTTATTTGCCAACCACTTGGAAGTTGCACATGTGACCTTTTCTTTCCTAGTGCACTCATGAATAGCATTCAGAGTCTTAATATGAAAGGTAGCCTCATTTCTCAGCTGGGATGCATAAATTTTCCAAAGACATGTTTTGTGTTTACAGATAGCTTGGACCTTGTTCTTCTCGTTCTTTTCAAATTTTATATCTCTGCCCTGCACAATTGAGTGTTGTCTTACAACACTTCTAAATGTGGCTGCATCAGAAAAGTACAGGCCAAGCTCAAACTGTGGATCGCCATATCTACATTTGGATTGAAAACAGGGAAATTATTGTGAGTGAATTGGCTCTTCATTTGTTTGCTTGTACCCGCATCCTCGTCAACAAGTGAACTGAATCTCAATGATTTTCTAAGTTTAGGAGCTTTAGAAGTGTTTTCGATTAACCCTCCCCATTCACCATCAAAATCAACATATTGATCATAGTTGAAATCATCATCAGACTCAAAAAACTCACTATCGACTATGTAATCAGAGTGTTCTGAATCTTGGCCAACAGATTGTACATCACTACCTCCACTGTCATTCAAATCTAATAAACCATCATTATAAAATGGTTCACTCAGAGGTTGAGGAGGTGTGACATTAGGTTGGGAGGGTACATACACTTCTTCATCATCATCATCATCATCATCATCATCATCATCATCATCATCATCATCATCATCAAGTTGTTCATCATCACCAATATACCCCACTGGTTCATCCACCTGCGGAAAAGAGCCACCTGTTGTTTCATTTTTCCCATTCTCGGGTTTATCTTCACTTAATACTTCATGTTGTACATATATTTCAGCTACTCTTTCACCATCAATAAAGTTGACTAAAGCCATTGCATCGATGTCATGTTTCATTATTGCTACATTGTTACAGTCATTTATCCCACCACCCCTATTATGGAAGAAGTTAACTGTACCATTCAATCCCAACTCTTTGGCCATTTCAATTATCTCAATCATAGATATCTCGTCTTCATTGCAATAATCAAAATAGTTAATGTTTTCGGAATGGTGCATTTTGATGGTGAAAAATTCACAATTAGAGCCTGCATTTCATTCAGAAAAAAAAAACAGAAAATAAACATATAAGTGAAGATGCATATTTGATAAGCTTATAAAGGTGTGTCTATGAATAAAATTGACATTGAAGAAATCTGACCAATATTGTGGTCTATAGTTTTAACAACCAATAAATATGGGCTCCATATTTTCAACTTAAAGAACACATTTAAACAATACGACATTTGAACATTGAGAACACAAAAAAAAAAAAAAAAAACCTAACATGTACTAAAATAATAGAAATCTTACCATAATCAGGAGCAGTTCGTCCAACAGAAATACCTTCATCACCCTCCCTTAATTTCCACACCATCTCACAATTCTCAAAATGATAAAAATCATGCAGATTATACAAGAAGAAATTGCGCAGACAAAAACCTATAAAATGTGAAAGGGGAAAATTGTGTTCTGTAAAAAAGAGGGGAAAATACAACGGTGAAAAGTGGGCTAGGTTTACTTGTGATAGAATTGACAATTGTGTCCTCCTAAATCTCACGTGCAGCACACATGCGGGTGATTCCGGTGAAAATAGACCAGAATTTGCCAATTTAAGGCACCGTGCAAGCGTTTCATGAGTTGAGGGGAAATTTTGTAAAAATAATTAGTCCAGGGGGTAAAGTGCAAAAGCCACTATAGTTTGGGGGGCAAAGTGCCAATTACCCTATTATAAATAAAAGAAAAAGAGTAAAAAGCAGTTTGCCCCCTAAACTATGACCCGTTTTGCGCTTTGCCCCCCAAACAATTTTTTTTTGCACGTTTTTACCTAAACTCGTTTTTTTGTTGCACGGTACCCTAAATGTGGTATTTTCCGGCAAATGTGACCGGAATCTCACGCACGTGCCATTCACGCGAGATTTGGAGGGGCAAATTTGTCTTTTTACTTTTATTCATGTCTGACCTCAGCAACTCACCCAAAACCACCGTTCTGCCCTTGATCGCCGCCAGATGAAGTGGGCTCCTCCCATCTCCGTCCAAAACACAGCACATCGAAGAATCTATTGAAACTAGCTCCTTCACTATTGTCACGTGCCCTTTTGCTGATGCAAAGTGAAGGGCTGAAGACCCTTTTGAATTCAGTGATTTTGATAGCTAGGAATTTGTGCTAAGAAGTTTGTTGATGAATTCCACGTGTCCCAGAAGCACTGTTGTGCGTAATTGATTTTCAGACATGGAAGAAATGCTTGAGCTTTGGAGGAGTTGACGATTTTCTTCTAGAAGCTCTGTAAGAAGTGAAATTGAGCCTATTATTGCTGTTTTTTTTATCAAATTTTTTTTTTTTGATTCTGATTCTGAAATTATGAAAGATTTTTTTTTATTCTGATTATGAAAGTATGAAAGATTTTTTTTTTTTTTTTTTTTTTGAGGATTTGAGCTTTATTTGCAGACTCCAATTAGGACAGGGTTTTTTTTTTCTTCAGGGTCCAGAGTCAAAGGTTGTGAATCGGCGGCTGGGGGCAGCGAGATTTTCTGGTTGGCCGCTGGGATGGGTTGGGAGGGTGGTGGGCGACAGAAAGAAGAAGATGGTACTTTTTTTTTTAAATATATTTTATTTTTATTTTTTTAATTATTAATTCATAATTAATATATAGGATATAAATGTAGTGACGAATTTACCCCTGCAAATATCACGTGCAACGCACGTGTTTTAACATTCCGATCAAAATTGTCGGAAACTTAAGTTTAGGGGGCACCGTACAACGAATTAACGAGTTCAGGTAAAAACGTGCAAATTTTTTTTATTTAGGGGGCAAAGTGCAAAACGACCCATAGTTTGGGGGGCAAATTGTTTTTTACTCAAAGAAAAATTAATGTACATGACAAAATTACCCCCAACCCTTTACACCTAATTCTTAATTGTAACCCCAATTTAATAAATTTTGACTACAAATATCCAATTTTGACTTTAAAAAAAAATCAATTTTGACTACAAATATCCAATTTTGACTTTTTAAAAAAAAACCGAGGGGTTATTTTTTGCGCCGGTTTCCGGCTTTGACTTTTTCAATTTTTTTCAAGTCAACGTCGGAAATCGGTGGCGGAAAATCAGGAAGAAAAGGAAAAAGAAAAAGTCAACGCCGGAGACTGGCGTTCAACGGCGGTGAGGAACGAAATTGTCCATAAAATTGTGTTTTGGTTCAAAATTGAATAATTTGTGAAATTTGGGGTCAAATTGAGGTTAGATTAAATTTAAAGGATGAAATTGGAGCATATTAAAATGTGAGGGGCTATTTTAATCTTTTACAAACCTCTGGACCATGTGTGGATTTTTTTGTAAAAATTTTTTTTGTCTTGACCCCTTTATGAATAAGTACCCATTGCTGGACTTATTTGTAAAGTGCCCTTAAATTTTTTGGACAATTAACGAAATAGCAACTAAATATGTACCTTAGTTGTTCTAAACTAGTATTAAATATGGGAAAATTAGCTAGACACCCCTTATTATGAACTTATGTAGGTAAGGATCCATTTTATTAGATGAATAGGCATAGGTCCCTAGATCAATAAAATTAATAGAAATTAAAATAAATTATTAGTATATAGACACAAATATCTTCAATTAATATTTATATATAAATAGTTATTTTAGAAATTGAGGGAACAAATCCCATAAATCACTCCCCCATCTCTCTCTTTCTCCTCTCTCACACGGTCACCCCTCCTTTCTCTCTCTCCACGCGTCATGCTCTTTTATCATCTCTCCCCACACATGCCTCTCTCTCTCTCTCTCTCTCTCTCTCTCTCTCTCTCTCTCTCTCTCTCTCTCTCTCTCTCTCACGCACACCTCTTTCTCTCTTTCAAGCCTCTAACTATTGTAAAAAAATATTCTTCATTTCTTGTAAAAAAAATATTTAATTTTGTTTCCGAAAGTATCAAATTAGCAATCTTCAATCATAACTTTCTTGTGACCATATATTTTGGATTTTAATTCTTATTTCATGTGTATTCAACGACATTGCATTTTTTCTTTTCTTTTTTTGCATTTTTTAACTGGTTTTACTTCAACAAACATTAAAAGAAAAAACAAAGATTGAACAACAAAATAAATTTACTAGAAAATTGCAAATTGCAACTTCTAAATGAAAATTAAATTGTAAAATAATTGCAAGATGTGAAACAACGATCTAAAAACAACAAATTGAAAATTGTAATGGTGTAGTTAACCAAAAAATGATTTGATTAATATTTTTGTTTCAAATTCTCTATGTTTTGTCGCTTCTTCTGCAATATCATTCGATGACTGGTATGCAGCCTCGAGTTGATTCAATCTTGGTTTTCCTTTTTCGAAGACGACTCATTTACTTCGCTATTCCCTCCTTTCGAAGTCGCTGTTGAATGAACAAATACAACACACCAAGTTAACTTAAAAAGAAGTATACATCAATTTGCAAATTTAGGATGCAAAATGCAATGCGGTACAAATAAGCAACTGTAAAATGCAACTTTCAAAACCAAATTGCCAAAAAAAAAAAATAGTTTACTCGTAGCAAACAAAATGCAAAGAACAATAACAAAACACACATAAAAGCAACTCCAAGAGAGATGTGCAAACCTATTTTTTAAATTTTTTTTACATAATTTCAGCCCAAAACTTGAGCTCCAACAACAAAATGGGTAAATGCAAAACTTGCCCGGTTTCTCAAATTTGAGAAACCAAAGTTACTATTTAACAAATTATGTAAAGATAAAAAATAATAATTTACCACTATCCACCCCTTTCAACACACACAACACACACACACACACACACACATATATATATATATATATATATATATATATATATATATATATATATATATATATATATATATATATATATATATATATATATATATATATATATATATATATATATATATATATATATATATATATATATATATATATATATATATATATATATATGTATATATATGTGTATATATATATGTGTGTGTATGTATATATGTGTATGTGTTTGTGTGAGAGAGAGAGAGAGAGAGAGAGAGAGAGAGAGATAGAGAGTGATATAGAGAGATAGAGAGTGAGTGAGTGTATAAGTGTGTGTGTGTGTATATATGTATATATATAAATATAT